CTTAAAAGCCTGAATTTTGCCTGAAACTCTCAGACTGAAGAAGTCTCTTGGAGGAGAGACGAAACGTTTCATTAGAGAAGAACCCGTCCAGAGGACCTACACAATTTTTTTCTTTTTGACTTTACCTGGATTACTGAGATGCATCAGGACATTTTTTTTACATTTTCTGTTAAATAAATAGAACTCCACATTTATTACCCTGACACACATTGCAAAAATAAAATATAATAAATCAACTTCATTGCAACACTTAATGCTCACCATAGATTTATATTATTTTAAATCCAGGTATGAGGTATTAAATGTTCCAAAAGCTTATTCCTGGGTTTGTTCTTTCTGGTTACAGGCTGCAGAGGCTAAACTTTGACTCATTTGAATGTGAGCAGAGATAATGTTATCAGTTATTCAGATACTAAGTTATAAAGAAAATAATTCTATCTAGCATTATTGCCATGAAATTGTTGAAACATTTCCATGAACCAGACTTATACAAAAGAAAAGAAAATAAAAAGATTAGCATATGTTTGGCTAATCAAGCCTCTTTTACCATACTACATTCACTGTGACTGATGAAGTACCAACGACTGAAAGCTGACAGAACATCTTCAAAGCTGACTGAACTTTCTTAGCCAAGAACTGATTCAGATAAGTTTTATTGTCTGGAGGGCAGTGAGTACTTTACCCTACACAGCCAAGAAAGAAGAAACTGGGGACCTTCACTCGTGACATCACACATTTACATACATCATCTGCCACATTCAACAGATGAGACAACCGGCATGGATTATATGGAGATTTAGTGTTAATACAGAAGCAGAAAAAGACGTTCTTAAAGTGAATTTCAACACATCTGACTTCAGGAATCACAGGAAAGTTCAATTGAAGTAACTGCTTTTGCATCGTTTAAAGAAACTTCACGATGATGCTTAAAAGTTGTGCGAGTACAATATCACCGTACATATGGCTGACTAGAGTAGGACGCTGTATAGCAAGCTAGCAGTAAGCTACAGTAAAAAAAGTTTTACTGTAGGCCTACCCATTTATTGACAAAGTGCAGGGATGGGATTCAGGTGGGCCTGTGTTGGTCTTTTACCTCTAGTAAAAGATTTGGAGATAAAGTTAAAGAGTAACTTACCCCAAAATTAACTTTTTTAGCAGATAAACTGCCTAGAATGTGTCTAAAATGTTATATAGTACTGTTTCTGTGCTAATTTTGATGTTTTTGTGCGTATTTGTTCAAATCTGTAATATTTTGTCTAAAAACGTGTTTTTGCTGCTCATATTGGTAGAGCAGTGGTACTGCAGGTTAATTTGCATGTTGGTTAACGGCTCTCCTCTGTGACGTGTCTTCTCCACAGTTTCGTCATAGCGGCTGTGTTCTGGTATAAAAGCCTCTCTCTAAGACACGCCCCTGCAGCAGTCAGAGGGTGGAACAGTTAGCAAGCTTAGCATGATCGTCTGTTGACCTTCAGCCTCGGGTGGGGAGAGGAGCTGACTGCTGCACTGCTCTCTCCCCCACACTCTCTCCACACACACACACACACACACACACACACACACACACACACACACACACACACACA